ATTAAATTCTTAGGTAGCGTTTGTTATGCCTGTATTTTATAATAAGTCTTTTCTGATTTAAAACGTAAATTTGTTTTTATTGAGCCAACTTCACGAAACATGTTTGTAAATATACTGTAAATTGCATTTGAAAAGTTATTATTAAACTTTAAAAGAGACAAAGGATATTAATTTTTCGATTTCCAGATATAATCTTCTGGAAAACGAAACAGATTTTTTTTTTCATTTATTTATACTGACATTTCCATATACACAAAGACGTGTCAGAAATTACGCGAATAAATGAGTGCATATGTAAGCGATAAACCAAAATAGAAATAACGAAATGCATAAATCTATAGTTATCTCTTTGTTTGCTTATTTGCTCGTCTATTTACACCTGTATCGATGTATTAAACGTACAGCACATAACTTCCACTGCGATTGCGATAATCTGGGCGATGGAACGGTGAACGGTACATTGTCACGCAGGAGCGCATGGCATTGTGTCGTGATCGTTGCGGAACAATGTCGGCGGGAGGCGAGGACCGTGCAGTTTACACTCGAAAGTTTTCGAACTTTGCGCAAATTATATCGCGACAGGCCGAATGTGCGAAGATGAAACTCGCGGTCGTTCCCCGCGGTGTTTCGCAATTACAGCAATATCTCACGAAATTTACAACGGAAAATCTCACCGTGTAAACCAGCAAGTAATTAATGAGTATGATTACATCGCAAGATTATATTGCGCGCGCCACGAAAGTCTATATCTTTCTCGCGTATCACAATTTAAGAAGCGCCTTTAATTTGTTTCGGTTTCATAATAGTCACGCGGCTGGCCAATATTGTTTAACGCGAATATGATTGACACAAGCTGGCACGCTTAAAAATTGGAAAGAAAAATTGTACCGAATACGTTTTTCTTGTAAAGTTTGGTTCTGTGTCAAATGCAGATATTCTTCGGGGGGAAAAATGATATACCGCGTATTATATCATACTTCAATTAATGCTAAAAGTGTTATAAACAAAATAATCGGCGTAACATAAATTTTTAAGGACACAGAGATTATGCTATAATTAAATTTCATTGAACGCTGTAATTACATCTACTTACAGGCTGTTATAGCTCCATCGAGCGAGATTAGAGCGCGTTATATGCATGTTCATATGTGCGGAATAATCCTGTCACATCCAGTATTCCTACCTTCGATAGCATTTGTCTGTACTAGTAGCGGTACTGTAATTTAATACAGATATCAATATATTATTATAATCAATTATAAGTGAATAATTTTAAAACGGTTTGCTATTATTAGTAATTTTGTATTCCGTGATAAAGTTATAAAGTTAAATTGGAATTGACGACGTATGAATTTTAATATTATTTTGCAAAGAGCACGATTCATAGAAAAGTAATTTTTTAACTAGAGCAAGATATTAAATGCCCATTGTGTATGAAAGCTTTACAGTATTTATATTAATTAATTTATATTAAACGTTTTAATTGTCATATTAAATATTTGGAAAAGAATGGCACGTGATAACTTAATAATGAAGTTTTCGTACTTGCTACAAATCAGGCCGTTATCGTATCTTAAGTGTGAACACGCCTACGTCTTCGTTATTGTCTCCTGCAGCGCCTCGCAATTGTTTTCTCACAAAATTTACGGCAATGCCTCGAATTATTCCACGGTAAACTTTGATATTAAAACACCGTAAACCTGCATTGTTTACGTATATACAAAATTTTCTGTTAAAAGCATGAAAAATTTTGACAATATTTGCCAGACTATTTTGAATCAAATATTAGATGTATGAATGCATACTCTTAATAATTAAATATAAATCAAGAAATCCTCTCCAATTAATCTAAAAACTATGTAACTAAGATAGATATACACATTTTAAAAATATATATGTCTATTCGCAAACAACTATTTCGATAGAGAAGATAACATTGAACAAGCAATTGTCAAGCTTTAATAGTATACACAAATAAATATTGCATCCGCGTTGTCCTTTCGACTAAACCGAATCGAGCTGCATCGTAAAAACGCTCCCATAATAGCGAGTCGTTGACAAACGTTTGCCAAGAAGAATCAGAGTCGAGCTGTCAAGCCGTTCGAACTTGTAATCTTTCCGCTTCGTGTAACAATCTCTGAATAAACGAGTTTCTTTCTTACGAGCCGAGTTTGATTATTTCCGAGTGCGCAGATGGTGCGCGATTTACGAGCGTCCCTTGGGCGTAACAATATCAATATCTTCTAAATTGATCTTTTGCCCCACGTGCCGGCGAGTTTAAAAAATCAGTACAAAAATTCAAGTAATATTAAATTAAAAATAAGTGTAGATCGAGAATAGTTATTGCGCGATTCTCTATCTCTCTCGTGTGTTGGCTTTGTTGCAATACTGCTTGCCGGTAGATGAGAATAGATGAAGCGAGGATACGTGGCAAGCAAGGAGAGCAGAGAGAGAGAGAGGGGGGGGGGAGAGTAGAGGGAAGAAAAGATCTAGGGAGAAACGAATGGAAGAAATATAAAGGATCTAGAAGGTACGTGAGACTCGACCAACGTCTCGGAACACCCAACTGCGGGCTGCAGTGCATCGAATCGCCGTTTGCGAATAGCCCCACTGCGTTTCAATTTCTTTACATGCATTGTTGCATACATGCACGAGTTGCGACACTGTTCGCCTATTCGGAATATTACTGTGGCCGGCCGCTTGCGGTCTCGCTTGCAACTTTTTTAATTGTCTTACGCTGTGCCAAGCGGATTTTCCGATATTTTTTTTCGACGTCTGTACACGTTTGCGAATACGGCTTACAATGAACAACGACTCGAAACGATGTCATTACAGTTCAATGACGAGCATTCATACCGCGAAACACACAGCAAGTAGAAACTGCCCTTTATCAGACATGTGCAAAATTCGCAATCTAACATGTCCTTTTAGGCAAACGATTCTAATAGCGTACGTATACAAAATACGATATACTAGACAATATTTCTATTGTATTTTAGTTTCTTGAGGAAAATAAAAATGTTTTCAACGATGAAAAATATAATCTATCAAATTACTTTTATAGATCCGTGCAAATTCGTAACTAATTGTTCTATTTTTGCGCTGGCGCAATTGACGATGAAACGTTTGCGAACAATTATTTTATGTGGTAATTGACAAAATTACCACTTGAAATAATGTAATGCCCAAAATCTCTTTTTGAGATATAAAACATTATTAGAGTCTATCGTTAATTGTTACTAAATAGAGGTATAGCAGAATTAATTATATAAATTTTTCACAAAATTTTTAACTTAATAATGATGGCAACTTAAAAATAAGATTAAATAACTTTTTCTGATTATTTTTCAACGTGCTAAATTGATCTTTGAAGTGATTTTATCATTTCACTAATAACAAAATATCTTGCATAATGCAGTATATTTTCCCATCGGAGCAAAAATAAAAATATAACAGAATTTATTTATTCACGAAGAACTATTTTCAAGAATAGATTCTGAAATCGATCCTAAACTCTTTGGACGTTCGCAAAAGCGCAACATTTTATTTATTCATTTCTATATGCTATAAAAAGAGAAATTAGACCGCGGACAAAATGAAGGAATCTGAAACAACACGCAGACTCCTCGCTGGTCCTACTCGCTTTCCAATCTTCTATCGAGTCAGTTTATTGTACCACAAATTCGCTCTACACAGATACCATTCGTAAAACCTATAGGTCGAACAAACTCAATCACGGTGCCGCAATACGGTGGAAGACAAGTACGAACGACGAATACGAGATTTCGGGCTTTTTGTATCGATACGGCGACGTTAATAATTCTATTATTCTGTTGCCATTACTCTATCTCCAGGCCGGGAGCAGTCGCGGTTCCCGTGTCGTTACGTAACTTGGATTTATTTGCAGGTTCGCGTAAGAACGGCGCATCGCCGTAATGCTTCGACATTTGTCACAGACAGAGATGATATCCAAAATATATGGCAAACATAAATTGATACATCAATCAAAGGGAGAGATATTATTACATTCGCGGTAAATCACGATATCGATATTTTCATTCTGAATGAAGAGTTTGCTGTACACACCAAAATCAATATTGAACATGCATGAAAATAATATTAAACAAGAGATATACTGTACCTGCGGCAACAACAAATGAAGAGAGTGTCAATCTCGGTCCCGTGAGTAATTAGGGCGTGACTGCGTCATTGTATCACAAATCTGATTAGCTCGTTACACTGTAAATTTTATTACTAAACATTTGTTTCTTTAAACGAGCACTGAAATTAACATGTATACTTATAAATTGACTATTGCGAGTATATAGTTGATCGGAACTAAATTTTTCATCGCATAACTCGCACGTGTAACAATTGCGAGACACCAGTGGAAAATATTAAAATCGCCAATCAGTCGTCGTGATCATCGCGCAGCTGTTGTTTGATAAAGCATGTAGGTCACGCTCATAATTGATTCGATATAATTATTTTATTATCACGTCGATTGTCGTTTCAGCAAACGGTTTAAAGTCTGGCCGGTACAGCCAGACAAATTATATTGCATTTCGATTATCCATTAACGCAGTTAAAAAGATACGCGCGCTGTACAATTAGTCGTTAAATTGCTAATATCTTGAAACTATATTATCATGGCACTGTACTCCTTTCCACTTACATGTACACATACACATAACGCATATTCACGAATGCATAAATGTGAATGAATATTTCAATAGGAAGCTATGTTGCATAAGAAAAATCAATTTCCTGATAGGAAGTTTCAAGCCGTTCCTCGCGTCTCACGTTTCCGGGAAATAGCGTGACTGACATTAAATCCCCTTTTTTTCGCAATTGCGATACTCCTCATGTCCAGAGCGATTCATTTATCTTGACGACCTCAAATTACATTTCAACTACCTCTTGAACGTTCGAAAAAGTTGCTTTTATGTCACCGTATAATATGCAAAAATGTAATTGCGAATTTCTTGTTTGTATTTTAGGAAGGAGCGTACGTACAGAAAAGCGATATGGATGGTTTGGGACTCTGCCCTTACGATCCACGACACAATAGCACAGCGGTTTTCGCCGGTAAGTTTTCTCCTTTTACAGTAATTTCAATATGCTCAATGTGCTTCGTTGTGTCCAATTGTCGCTCAAACTGCGAAGCCCATTGAATCGTTGCAGATTCTGTAGGAATCAATATTTTTTTCACAAATCTTAACTTTGGAGATTTTTTTTAACATTGAACAAACGTCGGGAAATAAAATTCCGACTGTAAATTGTAACATAACGTAGTTTATTCTTTGAAATGTCATTTGTTTCACCTGAAGGAATTTAAGTGATATTCCAAAGAATAGATTTTCCCGCGGACGAAAACAATCTCGGTGCGAGCAGTGCGATAGTATTATCGAAACATTTTTGCGTGAAGTCTGTGCCACTCTGTGCAGTTTCGAAAACCATCCGTCCGCGAAAAATATTTATCGAGAACATTTTTATTACATTTTGAAACATATGCTGCGGACTACGTACCAGATTTGACGGGCGACGCGTGGCTTTGACGATGGCAAGTGCCACTTGAGAGATTCGACCGCTCTACAACGAGTGGAGTAGCTTGTGAGAACGAGAAGCTCGACGCGAATATCACGAGTCCTTGTGCATTCCGCACAGAGGCGATTGATATACACGCATGATTTGTCCTATCCAGCGAATGCGATAAACATGCGTAAATCATTATGACGGATGATTCTTAAAAATTATCCCCTTTTTATTAATCATTTTGTACTTTCTCTCTATATTGTTTACATAGTTGGCAAAATGTATTATTTCTTTATCTCCATTTTTCTCTATCATTATTGTTCCGTATTATTTCGTATCGAAGAAACAATTCTATTTTTATTTCAATTTCTCGTTAAAGTTATGCTAAGGAGAAAAAATTATTTTTTAAATAATCCCATGTTAAAAATTTCTTTATGTCAGTTTTTCTCTATCATTATAATTCCGTATTATTTCATATCGAAGAAACAATTATATTTTTATTTCAATTTCTCGTTAAGGTTGCGCTAAGGAGAAAAAATTATTTTTTAAATAATTCTATGTTAAAAATTTTCTCACAATCTCGTTAGTGATGTGGATCTGAACAATCACTTAAAAAAAATATCTTGAAGCTGAGGCTGTGTTTATATTCAAGCTATATGTAGCCTCTTGCTTATTTTAAATGTCTTTATTTGTTGCTCTTAAAAAATTTCTCTATAATAGAAACTCTTTATCCTGCAATTAACTTATTTTTAATATATTTGCTATCTTTAGCATGAGAAGGGAGATCGGTTCATGAAAACCATGTGCTCTAGTTACGCAGTATGTCCTCACCGCCCCAGTTAAGGGTTAAAGATGAATGGACTCCACATGCGTTAAAGAATCGTTAAAGAAATGACTAGCTCTGGAATTATTCAGAGATGTCTCATTAGAGTAGTGCGAAATCTACTACTATTATCTATTGCATCCATTAATTTCAATTTCATTATCCTAGAAAAAGACAATTTTGAATGACAAACGGTAGTGAGATATTTTATGCTACGTCACGTCACAGGCCACGTGCATAGCATTTTATTATTTATTACGTATCATCTTCATCTATAAACACGTAGCACAACATACAAATATGTCAATATTTTTTCAAATGCATTTATTTTTCGATATAATTATTATTACATATGTGTATATACACAAAGAAAAATGTATACGTTTTAAAATGTAAAATGCAAAGTGTGTTATACTCATATGATACATAAATACTTGAGCTCGAAAATAACAACACGGTTTATCAATATTCAAAGATTATAGATACAATACTGTTAGAAGATGTAAAAGTCCGATATATAATTCAATATAGAAATGTATCTTGTGCGTTTGTCTGAAAAATTTTTTACTTGTGTGACATATAACGTGCAGTTTCATACGTTGAACGTTATAATTTGCTGATTACCAGGCACGTGCGCGCGTCGTATGTTCGCCAAAGTGCAACGGTAAATCAATACTCTGGAAAAGCAAACGATGCCTTGCTTCAATGAAGTCGTTTTACAAACATGTTTGATATTTCTACGTGTAAATGGCGTGTCTATCAGGGCGCATGACCCAAACTGCAAAAGATATTATCTTCTGCATATACATTTTGTCTTTGATAGAATAATTGAGATTATGAAAAGAAGCTTGAAACATGCGGAATATCTTAAATCTCTCGCACCTCCTCTCATCTGCAAATTATTTATTTAAGAATTCAGCGCAAATTTTTCTTTAGAAAAAGTTAAATAAAATTTTAACACACTAAAAAGTATTATTAATAAAAGACAACGATGTTTGCAATATTTTCGCTATACGCATTCCTGGCTTAGCACAAGTTGACGGTCTTTCTTTGATTTTTTTTTTATTCATCTCTTCATATACACTTAACAAATCACATAGCAACTTTATTCCTAAAAATATGGTTGCAGTGCTAGACGCACAGAGTAAAAGCTGTAATCATTAAATTGTCGATCACTTCTGGTTTCGTTGATTATATTTCATTACGCAATTATTTTGTAACGTTTAAACTTTTTGATTCCCAAATATGAATCGCTTTCCATATGTAATTATTCGTATTAATGAGGTATGGATAGCTGGACGGACATCCTGAATTCGGTTTACTAGCTCTGTAATCTAAAATACAACTCGTAAAATAGTTTAGGGTTTCCTTCTTAGAGGATATGTATTCTCTCGTGGGCAATAGAATGCGTTCTATCATCATATCCGTTGATCTTCGGGTGATCTGACAGAGTCTCGCCGTTTCGAAGGTCTTCCCTGAAAATTTCGTCTCTTAGCTTTACCGATAGCTTCTTTGTACTGACATCGCACGTGCTTATATTGCTTCCACCTCGAGCACGGCACCGCTTTCCTGCGCGTTGAGGAATTTCGTCATCTTACGAAATCCTTTCAGGAGCTTTATTCCTAGACAGCGAAACCCTCAACATTTATTTTCGTAAAGCTAGATCAGTGTGAACACTCGCTAGCCGCAATCAGTGTACGTTCGCCCAGTTAGTTTCTCTAATTACAGACGTAACGTTGCCCGCTCGAGTGTGTTTAACTCATTTCTTCTTTTCAATTCCACCGTTATTAAAATATTTAACAAGTAAAATGAAAAATGTATACATCGATTACGATTCGCCTCTCCATTGCCACGCGCAGATGTCAGTCAAGAACATATATTTCTGCAGCGAGAAAGAGAGCAAACGCTTTAATTAAAAAAGGATATTCCGATTTTCATCTTGAAATTATTTATGGTTTATTTTATAAACTTGAAAAATGTTAACAAATGTCTATTTGTAGAAATTGGGGGAAAGGACAGTTTGGACACATGTCAGTTTTGAATTCTTTTTTTTTTTACTCGTTTTTAAATAAAAGTTGCCATTTTTCAAACAAGCTGTATTAACCGTGTAGCCAGACAAAAAGTCCAGCTGCACAGTTTTCGCTCGGAAAATGAGAACTGTTTGAATCGAAAGTCGGGAGAAAGATATGATTAGGTATTCAAAACCGCTTAGTGTTCGGAACTCTCTTCATTCCCGTGTTATAACGTATTATGCTTTGTTAGCGGCTCTATTCCGTATTCCGCTTTCAACAGCGAGCCGTAGCTATCTGGCGAAACTTTCGTCAAGTTTTCGCGGAGACGACGGCGCCCCGGCGTAATGCGTCGGCGACGCAACGGTGCCTTAAATCACCCCTAAGTATAGCGCGTACGCAAGCCGAGATCTCGACGATGTTACGTGTCCCGCTCGCGGGATGCGAGAGCGGAGGGATGCTGCGCGTATGTAGCCAAGCCTCTTTCCCGCAGGTATTACGCGCGTGGCGCACGATATTCGCGAGCTTCGGCGTTGCCACGGGCTCACCGTAGATTTGTAGCCTGCAACGGGCACGTTCATCCCCCTAAGTCTAACGTCTGCCTCGCCCCCGTTATATATGACCATCCGGCCGCTATATACACTTATCGCGCGCATACGTTGGCCGGCCTCAAATCCCATCGTGCTTTTTGAACGTGAAATATGGGAGCCCCGCGAGGAGAGCCGCGGCGGCGCGGCCGAATCCTTCGAGGATCTCCTTTACGGGAACACGGGAGGAAATGCAGTCGCGCTCTGGATACCCCCGTTGTGTATACTGCCGCATTATGTACTCTATACAAACACACATAGTGATCAAAATCCTTGGATTCTTCCTGGATTTCGCGACCGATTGCGCGCGACACCGAGAAAAATTGTTCGCCTGCGGGATTATTCTCGAGATGGCGAGCTTTTCTTTCAAATCAAAATTCCTCGACAATTTCAACAATTTATTTCCCTGCGCAAATGTTTGGAAATTTTATGTTCAAGATCGAAACCACATTATTTTCTTTCACCGTGGAACAAAGACGTAAAGCGAATTTCATTTTTGTGGTCAATTGAATTTTACGAGGCTAAACCGCTGAAGGTTGCGGTGTACAGTATTTCCGGCGTTACTGGGCATTTTTGGGACATTTGTTTGGGCATTACAAGGATAAACCAAGATAAATGAGATAAAATAAGATAAAGTAACGCCCACTGGGCATTAGTAGGCATTGGTGCGCATGATTTTGGTCAGCGGTTTACCCCTATATGCTAGAGAAAAATCTTGTATTATGAGATAGGCTCCTAATATGAGACAGCGGAGTTTCTGCTAAATTAATCATCCGTTGGTTCCACCATGAGTTTTATTGCCCTTGTAGTGAAATCTGTTTAGTGGAAAGGTGATTGTTAGATCGTGTAATCGTTGCGAAAAAATATTTGCAATTGAATTTGAACGTTGAAAACCTATCGTCTCGCATTAGAATCCTATTTCATAGTAGAGAACTTTCCTCTATACTTTTTATTCGACCACTACTGAAATAGAATACTGCTCAACTACTTGGCCATTATGAAAGTATTAGTGGCAAATTGTTCAACAAATCGGTATTAATAGAATACTAGCAGACATACACGGGTTTGATTAGCAATTTATTATCCGGATATATTTATTTACTTGTTATCTACGGTATATCCAGTAGGCAAAACGATAACAGTACACTAGCAGTTTGGCAGCGGTATATTACAACAGATTGACATCAATTGCATCCGCATTACGTTGCTGGCGAGCCTGCAGACATAACATGAAAGCATATCGGTGGTAGAAATTGAGTAGATCTGCCGAGTGCAATGTTATGGCAGAAAGATTGACGGCAAATGTCGAGCAGATTTATTGTTGCATAAACATTTAAATAGCATTGATCTGTCGCAATCGGACTGCGCTCAACAAATTTACTCGATTTCTGACACCGACTTGCTGTCGTATCGGGTTAAAAGGTTTCGTTTGACTTTTCTGCTGAAATTCTACTGATATTATTCAATATAAAAAATTTTGCATCAAATCTGTTGCTTCCACTATTCTTGTAGTTTTGTAAAAAGTACTATCGAGGCTTGACTAAGTTTGGAGAGATCGTAAACATCGTACCCCAAAGTTCCTCCCATAGAACGGCAAGAAGAAATTTATGATTTCGGAAATGACAGCGAAAATAAGAGAGAGTTAAATCCATCCTTTAGGGAAAGAAATGTGTTCGAAAACTATGTAAAGTTATTCCAAGCCGTTCCACATCCGTAGAAATAAGCTCTTCAACGTGCAATCGGTTTTACAACACCACTTCAAAATTGCATGCGAATATCAGTTTCAGAATGCTTGATCCTCTCGTTTATGCTAATACGTGGACGCAAGTCTGTGTAAAAATTAATTCTCATTTTCGTATGTGCCATGCATCGTTATTCTGGAATCGTGTCCTCCTTCATGTAGAACTTTAGGGACGTAATATAAAAACTATTATTTTTTGTTTTATCGACATTTTCATTTTAGTTTTTGTAGATGTGTTATTCGTTTCGCGATAACGTGTCATGCTTATATGTATAATAATAACATTGATATAACTGTTGTCTAACAGTAAATAAGCTATATTTGTATTGTCACTTTTCGGACGCAGATATTTATGAATATACATAATGAATTATTCGATTTGACCGATTCGTTAAGTGGGATAATTTAAAAAAATGATAATTACTTATTACATATTAGTTTTATCTTTTATCATAGTCCAAAATTATATTTATTACATTCGTTCGTTCGTTCGTTCTGTGCACTGTGTTTATTCTGACTGATTCTATGTGTACAATGCTAATGAAAACGTACGTATATATCTTTGATAAACTTAATTTTAACGGGTATTTCAAACACCTGTCCTACGTTATATTTGCATATGCTATTAAATTTGAAGTAACACAATTATATTTCAACTATTTTTATAGAAAAGTATTACTGATTTATATATAACAGTAGTTATCATATAATTTTTATGAAGATTCTTCAGGTTTTAATTGTAATGCACATCACATATAGATGTGTGCCCACCACTCTCTCTTGTAAATATATTTATAGATCATTAATAACCTAATTCCCTTAACAATTATTTTCACCTGCTTTTTAACCTATTTGAAGTGGATTTTCTCATTGTTGTACAAAAGTTTAAACGTTTTCCTAAGACGTTCGAAAAAGAAGTCTTCTTGTAGATGACAGACATATCGAAACAATGTATTCGGATACTAAAAAATGATCTTGGAACTACGTAGTTTTATTTTTAATTTTATTATTTGACAAATATTTTACGACAAAATCTCCTTTTGCACCAACGTAATATTAATAGAACTAGGGTTTCTACCACTCTTTGGTGATTATGTATGTCCTTCTAAAATGTATGTTCTTCTCCCGTTTTAACATTAATATTATCACGCTACCTACTTCCCTCTATGCTGCTTTTGCGTTTAAATTCCCTTACGGAACCTACTTTGTTCGCACATCTATTATTTCCACTTCGAGTTGTGAATGTTATAATAGACAAATTTCAATGAAAAAGCAAATACTTTGTGCAGTATAAATAAATTACATGGTGATTAAGTTAATAAAGTATATGCATATAGACAGCTTTTTGTTTCATATTTTTCTACAGTTTTATATATTGAATTTAAATTTAAAAAAAAAGGATAAGACATGAGAAGATATTTAATATTTTCTTTATAATTATTATGACTTTGTATCCATTTTTGTATCTATCTTTATTGAATATATTCTCTGTTTTCGCCGAGCAATTTTATTAAATATCTCCAATTTAATAATTTTTGTATATTTGTCGTTCTTCTAATTATGAAATTAATGTTTATTTATACAAAATGTGCAAATGTATTGTACGTAAAAATAATAGCAAGATTATTGTATATAGACATAAATCGATAAACGTTTTAAAAAGAAAAACTAATTTTTCGTTCCGAAATACTGTTCGCCTTTGACAATGCAAGTTTAAGGATTAATTCTAGAGCTACTGGGTCTTACATTACTATTTTGAGGAATTGCGAAAAGAAAAATGTCGAAGAACAAAATAGGGATCGAACGTATGCAGTTATGCTGAAATTAATATGGAAAAGTCACGAATTCACGGAATGACTGGCGAAATTGAGCTCGGTATAATCGCTCACGTAGACTCCAAGATATGACATCGTTTAGGGGCTCGAAGGTCTCCCCTTCGTCCTTCGAGGACTTTGATAGTGGGAAGCGAAAGTTCGGTCATGCCATAGAATGTCATCCCGGTGCGTGCACACACGTGAACCATCCTGCGGATAGTACCGTCGACGTAAATTCAACGGGCAATTTCCGAGAGACGCGTTAGTAGGAGGATGAATTAACCCTGAGAGCCTCTGTATATAACCATCGACCTGATGGTGCTCGTTTAGCTTGCAAATGTGGAAGGTGCGACTGACTGACGGAAACGTTTATGCATGTTTCAGAAGGACAGTTATACGCCGCGACGGTGGCTGACTTCTCCGGTGGCGAGCCGCTGATTCACAGGGAGAAAATTCGCACCGAACGCTCGGATCTCAATCAGTTGAATGGTAAGATCCTAGAAATCATAATCGGAATACGGAACGTCCGCGATGGTATTTTGCAATTTTATCAGTTTATACGTTACATTCTGCGCAAACAATCTTTGCGATATTCGATATTCTATAACGCGAAGATCGCGTTCGACGTTTAATTCCAATATGCGCGTATTTACTTACTACAGAGATTTCTTTTATCCCGCTTCCAGCGGGATTCGCTAGATAAATTTGTGAAATTAGAAATTAGGAACTTTGTATTACTTGCAATTTAAATCGGAGCAATAAAATGATTTAATTGCTTAATTTCCTTGATAATCGCGTTTTTTATTAATTGGCTTGTTATCTGAAATTTTCATAAACGCGAGTATAACCGAAATATTATTAGAATCATGTGAGAATTATGATATCGTCTTATTTAAAGAATAAAAACATATCTATTACAGGATAATGATTCAAAGTACCAAACCAACAATTTGATTTTGAAATACCACTTTATGTAAATATTTGTTTAATTTATTGAAGTATGAATTTACAATACAAATTATAATATATAATTATAAGAAATTATATTATAAATTATGTAAATTTATACATTATTGTATAAATTATGTAAATTTGTAAGAAATACGAAGTTATTAACCATAATATTTAGGTCGGTCTTATCGCTAACAAATGAAACAATTACGTTTTTATTATGGAATAAATAATGAATGAAAAAAGTGCTGTAAAATACGTGTAACATTCTGTAGAGCGATTTCGATGATATAATAGAACTCGATGCAATCTCATTATTTCAGGTCCCAACTTTGTCAGTTCATTCGCGTATCAGGAATATGTATTCTTCTTTTATCGCGAAACAGCCGTGGAATACATGAACTGCGGAAAGGTGAGAGATAATAATTTTCTTCATTCGATACTTGTTAATCCTTAACGCGTAAATTTTGTAAACTTATACGTTTACTCGTGATGCCTTTCAAGGAAAATTCATTAAGATTTGAAACTTTGTAAATAGTTTGAAGGCAGGTACGTGCATGCGCCTCTGAATTTTTTACTTATTAGTATTAAAGAAATTCCCTGCTGTAATTCTTGTGTTGAGCGTTTGAAAGGGAAGGGCTCTTATAACATCTGGAAAATAACATGGATTCGTCCGTAAAGATATAGAAATGGAAAAATATGAAGTATAACCGATTTACAAGTTTGATTCGCCTTACAGTCGGTCTATTCGCGGGTTGGCAGAGTCTGTCAGCATGATAAGGGCGGGCCACACGCATTTAGCGACAGATGGACGAGTTTCCTGAAAGCGAGACTCAACTGTTCGGTACCGGGAGAGTACCCCTTCTATTTCAACGAAATACGTGAGTATGCATATGCGCGGTCCTTTCGCGGCTTCGATCGTGACTACGCCCGAGTAGTTTCAAACGAGGGCTCTCGCACGCTCTCCTAAAAGGTCCTCGTAAAAGAGCCTCTTCGATTCTGCGCCGCGTTAGTTCCCACTTAGTACATATACCGCGCTCTCGTCTACTTTTTAAGTTTCCCCGAGATTTCCGCCCGATATACTTTCGCGTTCTACGAAATTGTAAGAAAGAAAATGCAGTTTTAAAGACTTTAAAAGTTGCTCTTTCGAAGACACCCATAGAAAGACTGACTGGAATTGGATTTAATATTTCGTATCACTCGTTTGCCGCGTGCTGTATCGCAAGTTACATATACTTCTAATTGCGTTATATTTTTTTATGTAGTTTTTATACAAATCAATTGTTTTAAAAAAACAAACACAAATCAATATATCTCATTATCTTGTGTAGAAAAATATAGAAATACGGTTATCAAAAATTGAACATGCTACAAAATATTTCATATTTTACATCATAATATCTCAGAATAAAATATGAGATATCTCACAGACTATTGATTTTTGTATGGCTTTCAGTCTTAATATACTAAAATAACTTTGCTTTTACATGCAAAATGGTTACAAGAGAGAGAATAAAATTATGTTAAAAATATACATTACCCTTCTTCATCTACAAAAATATTGATAATATTAATGTCAGTCGCGTTATAAAAGATTTATCACATCACATTTCTCTCTCAAAAACGTTTATTTGAAACATTTTTTAAAGTTTTTCATTTGTGACATGTTTGGAAATCTCACTTTTGCTCTCATCTCGTTAAATACGAAAAAAAACGTTGGCAAGTTTATCCAAAATGCATACCGTTATGGGCTTTCTTGAGTAGTTCACATACATATTATATATAATATTTCTAATGTTTATATTTACGTAGAAAAGAGAGGGACGAGTTGCAACGTTACTTGCAAATACAAATATTATACATTAGTATTGCGCTGCAGCAATAGTTGCACTTCCAATATTTGCATTTGCACGCAAATGTTTTAGCGTGAGAGAGCGGCAACTGTTACAGTATTTGCAAATATGAATATTAGAAACGCGTTGTTGCACAAAAAGCGCGGCGAATCGCATTCCTTTGCAATAAGCGTAACTGTCTATTTAGTAGTATTGTAGTAAAGACATTCGCACGTTTGATATTTCTAAAGTGTTTTTTTTTCTATATTTACCTGCTACTTTTCGCCGCATTTATTGATTTTCGGATTTCTCGTCCATTCCACACGTACAACGCAATCGGATAAGTCACTCTAGCTATCTATCGTAGAGCGAAATGGACTAATCTCGAGTGTGAAGCACAATAGCCGTGCACTATCGCGTTTAGGACCGGTAGGAATGGAGAATGAACGAGAGGAGTGCTCTATTCTCGTAGAATATTGTCGCCGCGCATATCGAATTGAAATCCCGATGCTGGGCTCCGCGAAGTTGGCGCGTCTCCAGATGTCTGAGAGATGCCGCGAAATCACAGGCTGCTTCCCTGATTGTTCCAACTTTGTATCTAATCGCGGAACTAAGATAAGACTAATGATGGGACATGTTTATTAATCGCCGTTACGTGCCCGAGCGCCGTTTTATGAAATCGAACCAAATGTCCAAACGTGTAAGAGGAACTGATAACAGATGAAATTGACGTTGGAGTCGAAAATTCGTTAACTTGAATTTTTTCATTATTCAATTAATATGGCAAGATATTATTGCGAGAAGAAAGTATTTGGTTTAAGTACGATAATAAGTACGAACGGTAAAAGTAAAAGGAGTAACATGAAATTAGACGACGTTATTTAATCGAATCGATGCACAATACGTGAACAATTTTCTCTGTCAATTTTCATGAATTTAAGTCCAATGAATTGTAGATAGTATTATCATCGACTTCGGTGTTGGACAATTGAAAAATAGTTTATATAGAGAAGCGATATTCACTTCGACCAGATTATACAAATCATTTTGCTATGCATATCCTTCGTGTATTTTATAAGATTCATATTTTTCTTAACATGCTATGTAACTGACGAAATATCGATCAGGAGGTATTTTGAATGTCTGCCCTTATTAACGCGAACGTATAAGACAAAAATGGTTCCTATCTGTTATTTAGAATCAACGAGCGACGTTACGGACGGTAGATACGCGGGCAAGTCCGCGCGTCTGGTGTACGGGGTTTTCACGACCCCGGTAAACTCCATCGGCGGCTCAGCTATCTGCGCTTTCTCTATGGACAACATTCTCGAGGTCTTCCAGGGTGCTTTCAAAGAGCAAGAGACTATAAACAGCAACTGGCTGCGAGTACTTCCGGAAAAGGTGCCTGAACCCAGACCCGGTGCCTGTGTTAACGATTCCAGAACACTTCCGGATATCACTGTCAATTTCGTCAAAGCGCATCCCCTCATGGACGACGCGGTGCAATCCTACTTTTCGTTACCTGTGATAACTAAAACCAGTTTCAAGTGAGTAACTCGGCCGATAAATGCAACATAGCTTCACGAATATGTTTTTAACAATAACGTATTTATTGTTCTAGTGTAGTTACCTACACTTTGCCGCAACATTTTTTAATTGTGGCTTTTTTGTCAATTTTGGACGAATATTCCCTGTTAAAGAAATCAGTAATTTATTGCAACTTTCCAATTTTTTACCGTTAAATTGAAAAATAAGAAGGTATTATTACGTGGAAAAAGAAAGTTTCATTTTTAATTTTATTGCAATTTTTTCTCGAAAGTTATTTTTAAAGCTATTATTTTAATTACATATTTTTTAATAGCATTAATGGCTAAATATTTGTAATCTAATACGCTATTACTACACGGAAACTTTAACGTTTGCAGTTATAGATTTACCAAAGTTGCCGTGGATCCTCAAGTAAAGGCATTGGATGGTAAAGTTTACGATATACTGTATATCGGAACAGGTACAATAATTTATTTATTTAATTATTTAGAATAATGTATCAGTTATTATTACTTATACATAATTACATATCATTATTATATTTATAATAATGGTCAGTCTATTATCTATAATAACATAATTATTATAATAAATCATGTATATTGTATTTGAAATAACGATGATTTATATTTCTGCGAGATTAACGAGATTTACTTGTTGCACGGCAGATGACGGCCGCGTTTTGAAGGCACTTAATACACGGGCACCGGAATCGCGTGACAATGTCGGTCAAGTTATTGTCAGCGACGTCCAAGTGTTAAGATTTGGTAAGTGAATTGACTGTAAATTTTGTAATCACATTATTTCGCGAGTTGAATACAAAAATATTTTTCAGTAAAAAATATTTTCTCGTTATACATGCGTCTGTGTAGATTTTTATATCGCATAATTATTTACGGAAACACAAATCCTATATTGTACACAAATTGTGTATTATAACGTGAAAAATGAATGGAAATTAATCACGATGCAACCGAATATCCATTTGAAGTGCTCGCGTTGTTTTACGAAAGTTTTTTCGAGACATTTCATATTTAAACCCTTGAAATGGGGAAGAAGAGGGAAATCTTGATGCATATGGCTGATTTGAATAGATCAATTGCAACGCAAACTATCTGAATTCGTTGGAATTTTCAGCGCGTTTGGTTTCGGTACAATCTTCTCGTACGATGGAATGTAGAGTATAGTCAAACGGGAGAACGACTTGGGATTGAATAAGAAATTCGATGCTTCATTTAAAAAGTTCCTAAGAAGCTTTGCGTACTTCTTGTTGCGTTATTTCCGATAAAAATTTAAAGGGATGTGCTTGTAAATCACACCGTATGCGGTAAATAATATCTGCAATTTTTTTTCTCGAAATATATAGAGCACGCGAAGTCTTTTTCAAACTAATGGAATGACGTTTGGAAATAATGCACGATTCATATTAATTTACGTCGTGATATGCGATTCGTTGTTGCAGGCCAAGCGGTCAAAGACCTTCTAGTGGTTCATCTAGCTGGCGAAGCCAGCAAGCTGGTGGTGTTCGCGGATTCTGAGATCCGCGCCGTTCCCTTACATCATTGCGACTCGCTTGCTGCGGCTACTTGCAGATCTTGCGTCGCCTTACAAGATCCTCATTGCGCCTGGGACGCGACCGCGAACCTCTGCGTGGCGGTGCTGACGAAACTCCACGACAACGACGCCGATAAGACACTATTCCAAGACATCCCGACCGGTAGACACAAAAACTGCGGACGCGAACCAGGTACTGTCTTTGTAAACTATATTGCACATTATTAAGACGCCCGTGGATTGTTCCTCGAGATGAATATTATGATAATATTACGCGCGGATAATCCGCTTGTTTAATAACTTGATGACCTGATTCTCTCTTCCATTTTATTTTTTATTTTAACTTTAACTTTCTTTTTCTACGTATACAGAAGAAGTTGTACGGGCTGATTTGACTGATACACATTTCCCAAACTTGAAACTCGAACGTTTCTATTTCGAAATCTGAATATTTCGAAAGCAGTTCGCTCGAATTTATTTTTGATTATTGTTCAGAACCAAGAGAATCGTACGTACGTTCAATCTTGCATTCATATACCATGTATGAACTCAACATATGGGTTTTAAAAAGTTTCTAGATTTTTAAAAAGTTTCCTGCGCAGTTCCTGACGCACCGTGGTCTATTCGAACTTGTACTTTCAACCGGAATAATCAAGTTTGTTCCCTAGCATCCAGTGCTCGTTCTGCGAAAGGAAGGTCGTAAGATTATAAAATAGGAAATTACAAATTTTAATAGAAAATTGTTAAAAAATAGGCAATCTTTTCTAAGTTTACAAAACTTTCCTAGCTCCTTTACTAAATGTATTTATTTTAATAACAGCTCTTTCACTTTGTTCTCCTCACCTGCGGACTTCAATTTATAATTATTTCATTTTAAACGTGAAAAATGGAAGAGAGACAGCTCGGCTGACATACACAAATCTAATATGTGGCAATTTTTAAATATGTGATCGTTTGTTTTGTGGTCATGCTTTCTTTGTCGAATACACTGCTAAAGAATATATGGGCAACAAATATTAAGGGGCAACTCCTTGTAACTTTTAATGAACATTATACGTCTTCAGATCTGACTTTTTCTGTTTAATTTTACATAAAACTTGATTTGAAAAATTATGAGAAAGATGGAGTCAAAAACATTTACTGAAACATTTATTCTGAAAAATAGAGCACATATGTATGTACCTACATAATAATATATCCAAACTGTACGGCCAAACTCCAACTTGAACAATTTTTCATCAAGTATGTGTACATTATAACGTGCGTCAGGTCTGAATCAATTAAATAATATTTTCGCAAGTTCAACTATGCTAAGAATACTGCTCGCACGGCTAACACAGCTCACGATCAGCTATTTCATGGTATATTCATGCGTACGCTAGGCGTTATGTATATTTTCGCAGCACTTCCTGGTCGGACGCATAAGATGTTCATATTAATGACGCTTAATGTACACTGATTATGACTTTAAAGTATTTGAAATTCTTGGGAGTATCAATGAAATTCTTAAAATTTTTGATAGTGCGACCTCCTCATGCTTTTTCGATTTTGCAGGATATAGATTTCGGAGATTTAAATTCCTTGAAAATTTTTCGAGTTTTTGATAGTGCGACCTCCTCGCCGGTCATGGTCTCCTCATGCATTTTCGATTTTGTGGAATATCAATTTCGGAAATTAAAATTCTTGGTAGTATAAATGAAATTCTTGGAATTTTGGATAACTCGACCTCCTCGTCGGTCATGTTCTCCTGATGTTTTTTCGATTTTGCGAGATATAGATTTCGGAAATTTAAATTCTTGAGGTGCGAGTCAAGGAGGTCGCAGGAGTTAAAAATAGAAATTATCAAACGACAGACGTCATATTAAAAACAATTCAAAAAACAAAATTTTTAATTAGGTATATGATTTTAGTTTATGTGAATGTCTAAATGTAAACGCAATGCTTAAACACACATGGTGCCTAGTGTACGTCGCAATAAGAATGCGAAATCATTTTGTACGTAATCATCTGTCGTCTATCATCATATTGGTGACTTCAGAGGTAACGAAGTCCGTCCAGCCAGCAGTGGCGTCCGAAATTGGGCGCAACGAGCAGCCCGACGAACGGGAGAATGAAATCATCATCGAATTGGATCGGGAAAATCAGTACGGCCGTACACAACCGAGAGCTAATGAGCCTCAAGGTAACCATCTGCGATCTTGTCCATCATCACGTCACTCCGGCATGTATAGTTACCTTGTGCGAAGTCGAAAATCCCTCTCTCATAATACGTGATCCCGCTTTAACTTCTCCCATGGTATTTTGTTCACTAAAGCGGATTTATTTTTATGTTTGCAACTAATCCTTCTTATCCGTACGCTAGCATACAGAATAATCCGTTATTGGTTAACTGAACCTAACTGAGAAGCTGATGATTCCATATGAAAAATTGATAATACAGAAACATCACTGTAATTTTTCTTTTTCTTGTACAAAGCTTCGTCTTGGAGAGAAAATCGGATTTGCAAAAAATGGAACATTCTTTTCTATTTAAAGACTGCACAGTTATCGATTAATTTATTCTAATTACAATTCTTTCTTCTCGATTGCTGATTTATATTGATATGTAGATTTTGTGATGTTTTAAATCTATGCTCTTAAAAACAAAGTCTCGTATGAAAAAAAACTTTTTTTCATTTTTTTATATAGCATGATCAGCTTTCTAATTATATCGTCACTTAATTTTACTGCCAATAACGAAACGTTCTGTCACGTTTGTTGTGTTTGTGCGGGTGATACGATGTCTGCCAAAATCGGTTGTATCTTGTTGCTCCATTATTATGAAATCCTCCTTCGCTCTTTTTGTCGCTTAAATTTTTCCTCACCGTTCGAAAGACTGGAGACAGAACGCGCGAGCAGTTTTCGCAAGAGACTAATATTACATATTGTTGAACCTGTTACATTCTGATTGCAGGCGTGACTGTGACACCAGTGGTATATTCGGCCCAAACATTGACGGGCGCGCTAATAGGGACCTGTTTCTGTTCCCTGGTGGCCGGTTTCGCCTTCGGTTTCTGGTTCTCTCAGAGACTACGGGGTTCGTCGTACCCGGAACCGTCGGAACAACGGCAACAGCTGAATCGGCTAACAGAGAGCTCGGAGTCGCCCGGCTTCAACAACAAGTCCATCAACCTTGTGCTGAACGTACCGCCCAAGAACCCAAATGGCAAGAACGCGAATTCGTCCGCGGAGAACAAGCCAGTGCAAAAGGTGAAGAAAACGTACATATGATACAGAAGGCGACACAGAGCCGTTTGAGGCTTGCCGCAGGACCCGACGGGTTCTGGCGCATCTTCCACCTCCTCTTCCTCCGACCTCGCGGAATCGGACGAGCGCAACGACGAGGACGGCGACGACGACGAGGACGACGATGGGACGACGCCCACAAGCCTCACCACCGGTATCGCCACCGACCACACCAACAACACGCACAAGCTGGACGAGGATCATTACGAGAGTATCGCGAATGACGAGGTGTGCACGCTGGAGTACCTCGATGGCTACGATACGGCCCAGAGATGTACTCAGTACCACCAGTCCGAGTGCGTCGAGACGACGTTGATGAACGCGCGACCGACCTGCGAGCTCGAGGATTCCGGCGGCAGCGACAGCGCGAACAGTCTCGACGATCTCTGCGGGCGTCGTCCCGCCACCGAGGACGATCCGTACGACCGGCAGCACGGGGCGACGGGCAACACGCGGGACCATTATATGGTGCCCACCCGGAGTCCGCGCGAGCTCAACGAGAAGATTCTGTCGCTCTTCAACCCGCAGTTCCTGCCAAACTTCAACAACATGGTCACGTACATGGCCGCGCATAGTCCGCCGCCGCGATCTCAGTCTCTGGTCCAATACAACGGCGAGGACGACAATTTCCTGCTGAGGGACAGGAACTATCGTAAACGTGACGGCACGAACTCTGTGTGCTTTCGGCGAGGACTGACTCACGAAGCGCCGCGGGAGTGACAGTACTTTCGCATCACCGGACGAGGTGACTCGCTCCGTTTATGGTCTGATAACGAGCAACATCTAGCAACGTGACTTTGTGCACCTTGAGAAACTAGCAGTGCTGAAAGTGAGAAATAACTGTATGTATCTTCTACAACGTAAGGAGAGCCGGGAACTGTCATGGATATGGTACTACGTGCAGCGAAATCCCCTCCCCTCTTTTCCCGTAGCTTCATAGTGAACACGTGGCTGAAAGTTGCCGCGGAAAAATGCGGTCGTGTTCACGTAGCGACACGTAATAGTCGACGGCGAATAGTCTCGTGATAAGCCCAGGATCTACTTTTTTATGGTATTTTCAAGCTTTGCCAAGTATTGTCCGTCGCGCGATTCCACACACGCGACTGTGGAATCGCTCTGTATAGGATTCAATTTCAAGTCTTTTTCTTTTATTTGTCTCGATGATAATAATAGAAAAGTCGAATGTAAGGGAAAGCGTATGCCGACAACAACGACGACAAGATTGAACCGTAGTAATGTAATGTGATACCATATGAGGACTGTGTTCGTAGCAGTGGCCTGTTAGGTGCTTAGACTGATGCAAGATAAAACGAAAAACACTGCGTAGAGACATTTAAGCATTCGCGCGAAGAGAGACGAGGCGTGCCTTCCGTGTATTAATTGTTGGCAGATCTTGATCTATAACAGGAATGGAGTGTTAATATGGCCGGTATAGATTCGGGCAAGTGCCTCATTTATGCGTTTTGTTTAAGATAACCAATAGGACAGAGTGAAGTATAGAAGAAACAAGAAAGAGAGAAAAGAGAGAGAGAGAGAGAGAGAGAGAGATCTAAGTAAGACTAATTCGAATATCGTTGTGCACTTATTGCCGTGCTGTGAGTACTGGTAATAGCGGGGAATACGGATGAGAGCGTGTTCGTTAAGAGCTTGGCTCTCACTCAGGCATATAGTGGCAACAGTATGTAGTTTCTTCGAGGAATATGCATGTTAGAAAAAGAGTGCAAACATTATTGTTACATAAGGTTGCAACAAAAGGGAGAATTGGAAGGAGAGCGCATATGATTATTTACTGACTGTCTGAGTAATCTGCCGGCTTATAGATAGCGCGACTTGCAAAATTTTCTCAGCAGACTTGACTCTGGGAAATTAACAAAGTGTTTAGTACCTAATACCTTAGTGTCTAAAATAGAAGTTATAAACTTTTAGTTTGCTATTTTTATAATACTTTTTTAACTTAGTCAAAAAATTAATCTCAATTCTATGTTGATGCAATATTAATTGCGCGGGACGTTTACGAAACGTCCAACTGTTTAAAACAAGTCGCATTAATATTATCGTATAAAGTACAATTAATTTTTAGTAAACTCGACGTGTTATATATATGTTTAATTCGTAGTTATTTAGATTTTTTACTTGTCTACGCCGTTAGCATGGCGACGCGGTCCTCGAAGAAACTCTGACAGAAGGAATCGGAATGTGCGGGATTATAGATAATGGCGTAAACTGGTTCTGCTGGCGTTACAATAACGATTGCGATACGATTACACGTGCGCATTTACTTGACAGCTCAATCGCGGACAGAGTGCCTCTAACTATGAGCGTCTCGAGAAGCTTTTAGAATATCGAGAAACGGCAGAAAGTGCACTTTCGACGCGTGACATTCTAAGTCAGGATCAGCTTTGCGTGGATGCGTTCGTCCAACTTTGATCGCACCAGCAGATCTCGATTCATCTACATGCGGGTAAATTTCTAATTAATTCTTGCAACAATTTATATCGCTAACTAGGTATAACGCATTGGTGTGAAGGGTGCTTATTTACCGAACGTTAAAGTTAAGTTCCAAGACCACCACAACACGAAGGAATACAATTTCGTGCATGCTCGACAGGCACTTTCCGCCGTTTCATGCGTTACTTTCTCGTCGCTCATTAACCAACACTGCCGCGTAAATTCTAACACGCCTCGAGCGAACAGTACAGTAGACACCTTACCGATTTTCACCCATTGAACGTTGGACGTTAAAAGATCAGGGTAAAAACGAAACGTTGTTCAAGTGCTTTCGCGTTCGACGATAGGGCTCGATGTAGATAGCCGCATGTATGGTGGTAACTGCGTGCTGTGTAAGCAAGAAGGGAAGTCGTGTAAATACATAGAACTGTTTTTTATCGTTGAGATCATTTTAAACAAGATCGAGGATTCATTCGTTATGCTACTCGTCACACGGGCAGCAGTGATACATTGATATTATACATATATTGCATTTTCATTGCTGCGCATATACATATACATACATACGTACATATATACATATATATATACACATATATGTGTGTATATTCATACAAGATGTTGAAAATTTAAACCGGCAAACCTTGAGAGAATATAAAGAAGGTTGAGGAAGAAACACTCTTTTTACTAGTAATACTTTTTCGGCAAAAAATATTGTTACCAAAAAAAAACGCGTTTTTCTCTCGAAATCGTTTATATTCCGCTAAAGCTCGTCAGTCTAACTTTTTAACATCCTGTATGGATACACAGACTCGTGCATACACATACGTGTGCACTAACGCAAAAACACATTCGTTTTTAATTCGCATAGACTATACGTACACCATAGTCTGCTACTTGGGGAAACGAGATGTGTTAAATAAGAGAGGCAGCTAATTAGATTTATGCGCTGACTTTGTAAAAGTCTGTCTTTCCTTAAATAAATTTTTGCCATGCCCCCCGTTCACCGCGTTCGATCCCGGCTGGCAAGCCTTTTACAAAATATAACGATGTTTGTGTAATAGAAACATCTGAACTAGGTACCTTAACACGAGATATATGACAGTAGAAAGAATTGTTATACATTAATATTAATATTTCTAAATTGAAAAGGACTGGGGAAGCGTATAAATTTACATATGTATACAAATGTACTGTTAGATACCATTTGCATATACGAATAATGTACATAAATAACGCTCTGTTTAAAACTGACTTTATCGTGCTTTTAAAGCTAGCCCTGTGTCATAAGAAAGCGGAGAGAAATGAATTTCCAATTACGAATAGACTAGGAGCATTTAAAAAGCTTCTCGTACTTGCGTTAGCCATTTTTTAATATAAAGCGTGAGAAACTACAAGTAGATTCATATTAAGATCAAGTCATAATTTATAATGGAATTGAACATTGAGATAAATTACACACGAAAACATATACGTTCCGATTGTTTAACACATTTGCTATCAGCGTCAAATATAACAAACCATAATTTATATGATAAATCGTACATTTTACTTTCCACAAAAAAAACCAAATAAGTTTATCTTATTATTATCAAATGATTTAGAAAACATACCGCATAAATAACGTGCGTGAGCTGAAAATTTTAATTGCGTATATTGAACAATTGTTGTTCCGTAGCAGATTGAGTAAGCGATGCAGATATAACGTACTAGGCGAGCAAAAATTTTCAAAATCCAGCGCGAATGTATTGATCATTTCAGGATATATTAAGATAACAATAAGAACAAACGAGATTTTTTTAACATTGCCGCAGAGAAATGTGAAATCTTGAGTAGCAACCTGTGACAAGATTGTATTTCACTTGTGATTTTTATATCTCTTCTTACCATCTTCTATCAGGACAGCACTCAATATTTCACACAGGTCTAATTCGGCGAAAATGCTAAGAGTATATACAACACGACTACAAAAATTTCCAACGTTTTATCTTCAATATTTAAAAACATAGATTTTGAATAATTGGTAAAAAAACCTATAAACTTGCCAATGTATACGAAGTTACTCTTGTTGAACAAAATTGCGATGATTTAAGAAACTAGGTTCCTTTTTAACCGTCATGTGTTTCCGGAAGCAGCATATTCGGACCAGCGGAAACCAAGTCGAGAATCAATGTACAGAATTTTAATCAGCTAATTTGAAAAGTGAAAATAAAGGGGCAACATTACATAATACACACATTTAGCTTGCGCAAATGCGAGAGGGCGATATTGTTGTTAGTAAATACAATATAAAATCGGGCGGCTTTATAATTTTAGATTATTATTTGATATATCGCGACAGGAGAAAGGAACGTGAACAATGCGAGGAACATGACGATATGAGGCACGAACGAAGACAGTATAATTACGTGACGCGATAGCCGTAGACTGTATCGTTCGCATTAATTAGATAATATAATCGCAACATTCCATTAAAGCCGGGACTGCCAACCGTTTAATAAGTACTGGCCTGGCAGTGGGCGACGCTGCGAGGAAAGCCGATAATACATGTAGATAATTAATTAA